GAGCCCAAAATTCCTCTAAATTGTCCAATTGTTTTAAATATTGCTAAACAACTAAATACCACAAACTCTTGCAAGTCACCTCCAGAAGGAGCATGGAATTGGCAAGGAACTGATGCATATATTGTGTACGTTCTTAAACAGGTAAGCATATCCTCCTTAAAAAAAAATCACTAGCAATTTATGTCAACATTCCTCTAACCTTGAAATAGATTTTTATAGGGGCTGCATTTGCATAATGAATCCTGCAATCTGTTAACTGGGAACTCATACATATTTAAATAATTTAGAGAGCAAAATTCTTTCCAGTGTACTAAAGGCAGCACACCAATTGCTTCTGAAATACTTTCACTAAAATCATGCGGTGTAGATCAGTCTATGAGAAAATGATAGAATTAAGCATAAATCAATGAACATCATAAGTGAATCGCGGGATGTGAATCTGGATCTCTGCATTCATTGTAAAATATACCACCCTGGCTGTCTGTTATGTGCCAGTTATGGACTAATGGAAGTCTCAAATTAGAAGGATGAAGGTCATCCCAATCATGTTCTTCATTCAAAGAGGTTGGTTTCTGTCCCATATACATAATTAGCTCCTCTGACAAGGGTGCAATCACAAAAGTACAGGAAGTCCTCAACTTATAACAGTTGGTTTAGTGACCGTTCAAAGTTACAATGGCACTGAAAAAAGTTAATTTTTTTCCACACTTACGAGCGTTGCAGCACCCCCATGATCACGTGATGAAATTCAGATGCTTGACAACTGATTCATATTTATAACAGTTGCAGTGTCCCGGGGTTATGTGAATACTTTTTGTGAACTTCTGACAAGCAAAGTCAATAGGGAAGCCATATTTACTTAATAACCGTGTTACTAACTTAACAACTGTAGTGATTCACTTAACAACTGTGGCAAGAAAGGTAATAAAATGGGGCAAAATTCACTTAACAAATGTCTCAACAGAAATTTTGGGCTCAATTGTGGTCAGACATCGAGGACTACTTGAAGTAATTTATCTTGAATTAGTAGGATTAAGATGCTTCTGGCCCCATTCTCAACCTTAGTTTTTGGCTCATGACTTTCCTCCCCTTAATCTGCTTTGGGAACATTAGGATTAGAATCATTAGTCAACCATGACATTAGATTCTTCATACATCAGTTAAGCTTTATTGCATTGTTGCATTGTTGCATTGCTGAAGAATCAATACTTGAATCAAGCTTTCCTATCTGCCCTCTACACTTATACACTGGACACAGATCTGATGATGCTCATCCATCATGGTAACTGCAGGATCAAAATGACTTGAACTGCAAGGTTTCTGGAAAGAAGATCTGGCTGATACATTCCCTGGAATGACCCTTGCTCCATCCAAGAAAAGGAAGCACCCTGTGGGAGCTCTCTCAGCCCTAGGAAGCAAGCAATGGCAAACCACTTTTTTTAAAAAAGAAAGGAAAACATTGCCAAGGAAACAACAGGGACATGTCTAGGGAGTCACTAAGAGTCAAGACAGACTTGAAAGTGCACTCACAAACAAAAAAAGAGTATTGAAATATCCAAGCCATCCCCTGGATGGTTTTCTTTTGCTTTGGTTTGCTGTGGTTTTAGCCTGTTGCTTTTTCATCACTTGGTTAATGCGACTCTAAACTTGCAACCACTAAAAAGTGGAGAGGTTAATTTGTAACATAACTTGGATTTGAACCTTTATTTTTCTTGTTGACATTAATGCCTCTTCTGCTTTGACATGCTTGATGATCTTTCAGGGGAGCTGTGGCTTTTGTTAAAGGATGGATAGAGGCCTATGTTTAGTTTACTACACTCTTATGGATTTCGGTAGGCATAAGCCCCATCATGAACCCATGAAATGAATTATTTCCATGTACTCTATGTGGGTATAGGAGAATTTTGAAAGAGAATACCTCGTTCCAAAGATGCTAGGTCACCTTAAAAATGTATTTACCCTCAAAACAATACATTGGAGGACAATTCCACCACCACCACCACCACCACAAAATAAAATTATTTCAAAATAGCAGAAAATGAAGACTTGGGCTCTCTGGTAGAGAACTAGAGTCCTATCACAGTAAGCAGACCAGTGGTGGGTTGCTTCCGGTTCTGTCTGGTTCTATAGAACCGGTAGTAAAATCAGCAGGAGGCTCCGCCCACCCGCCTGGACATCACAAATGACAATCTGTGCATGCGCAGAAGCACGCGCATGCGAAGCAAGCTTCTGCATGCGTTCCCATTGCAAACCAGTAGTAAAGGTAAGTAGAACCCACCCCGAAGTAGACACCATGTTGTTAAAAACAGAATTAATGGATTTCACAAAACTGGAGCAGTATGAGGTACCTTTAAAACCTCCACTATAATAATGTGCACATTTCTACCACACAGATTAAATTAGCTACTCTGTTCTGTGATACCTTCAGCATTTAACCTTTTACATCTGCAATGTGTTTAAACTCCTTTTTCAGCCTCAGGCATTGCTGGCCTAACTCCCTCCTGTCTCCCTAACTTCTAAAACGAGACCGCCTTCTGCCACCAATAGCCTCCCACCGGCCAGTGCGCTCAAACAGAGTCGGCCTCCTCAGGGTGCCGTCCGCCAGACAATGTCGGCTGGCGACCCCCAGGGGGAGAGCCTTCTCTGTGGTGGCGCCCACCCTCTGGAACAACCTCTCCCCAGAGTTACGTACAATAACAGACCTCCGGATTTTTCGTCGGGCCCTGAAAACCCATTTATTTCAACTAGCTGGGCTGGCTTGAGTCAAATTTTAAACTGATTTTAAATTGGAATTGTTTTAATCACGGCCAAAAGATTTAATTATTTTAATCAGTTTTTAGATTTTGTATGTTTTGTATGTATGTCTTGTTTTTATTTTCGGCTGTTCACCGCCCTGAGTCCTATATTGGAGAAGGGGGGTATAGAAATTTAAACAAATAAAATAAATAAATAAAATTATTATCACCTCTTTATAATACTGAAAAGGTCTTTCATCCTTCTGAAGGCCCTCCATACCTAAATCCTCCAGAAAATGACAACTCTTGAAGATTTCTTGTATTTTCTTTGAATTTTCTCCCATCCATATAACCCTCTGGCATTTCAGAGCGCTCAAGCTATAACTTGGTTTCACTGTTAGACTACATTCTTTGTGCAGGAAATGTCAGAGAACTATGCTTGTTTGTTGCTACATTTTTAAAACAGTTGTTCTCTTTTATTTTTCCCAAAGTTTATGACTAAGGTGCAGCTTCCCGCCCCAGATTTCATCAGAATAACCAGGCATGGCCCTAGCAGAAAATCCAAAATGGATTCTTTATAAGCTTGGGAAAAAGGAAGAAGCAGAAAGATTTACTCCCTTTTAGTGAGAGTCCAAATGGATTACGTCAAGTTAGCTGCACCATTCTGTCTACCATTCAGGCTATTCCGGAAATCACATCACTTAAGCACAAGCAAAAACAAAGGAGGGTGCCCGGTAATGTTGTCTAAACTGTGTACCACTTTGAAAGACTTTTCTATGGCTCAAAGAATGGTTCTTCTCCCCTTCCTGGTGCCACCAAGTGACCTCATTTCCATCCAGTGGAGCAGCAAAAGGCCTTTTTGGAGGCTAGGTTGACTGCTTTCTTTTGGAGAAAGGGGAAAGAAATAGCCTCCATGCACATGATGCATGGAGCTGCTTCTGGAAGGAGGCAGAAACTGGAAAACTGAACCACTTCTGAACACCTGGAATTTCTTCTCATAGAAAATGGGAATAGAAAAGTGTGAGGCTACCTCTGACAGGCTTGACAATCAGTTATGAGAAAAAGAGCTAAGTGAGGACTATTCCAATCCTAGCTGCAGGAACAATTTTAGGGGGCATCTCCTAAATTATGCCCAGAAATATAAAACTTACCTAATGGAATTCCCTTCTAAGTCTGCTGGCATAAATCCACAAATCAGTTTATATGTGAGACTTGATTTTTTCAAGTAAGGTGAATCCTCCCTCAAATTAGAAATGCTTAGCTTCCCATGGAAGCACTTAGATAAAATCTTTTCTCTGGATGATTTGAAGTAGAAGTGTTAGCATCATGCCACAAGTTTTTTTCTGAACTACTCCAAAGGGAGTTTTATCTAAGGAAAGAAAGGGGGGGAGGAGGAAACACCACTCCCTGAGGGTATCTGAGTTCTCTAGGTAAACCATCAGTTTCCACCTTGGTGGTGCTTAGAGGTTTAGCTGCAATATCACTTGTCTCAGGGCCTTTTCTAGAAAAACTGTGGAGTGTAGATTGATAATTAATATTACATACAATAATTTATTTAAATGAGACTATCTATCTATCTATCTATCTATCTATCTATCTATCTATCTATCTATCTATTATAGCTCTATCTTGTTACTGTGGCAACTTGAAAGGTAGGTAAGACAGGTTCCAATTTATAATTACCTAATCTCAGTCAAACACCTATTAAAGAGAGCAATTGATGATTGGCTTTCTTTCCAGGAGATGACACTTGGTGAAAAAGAAAATGAAGTAGGGGGAAACTATCAACCACTGGCTTATAAGAACATTACCACTTGCCAGCCATATTGGTAAGGCAGGATAGATGTTGCGACAGTGAAATTCATTCCAGCATACTTTTCTTTCTGATTCCAGAAATGGAAAAATGCATGTGAACATGGCATTGAGAAGTGCACTGCCAAATTAGACGATTGAGAGGGAGTAGGTACTTCTTTAATCCCAAACTGTCTTACCCAACTCCAAATGTTTTTCTTTCTGGTTCTTTCTGACCAATGATTTCATTCTGATTTCCAGCTTCTTTCATTCTCTACCATGGAAGGAAGGAAGGAAGGAAGGAAGGAAGGAAGGAAGGAAGGAAGGAAGGAAGCAAGGAAGTAAGGAAGCAAGGAAGCAAGGAAGCAAGGAAGCAAGGAAGGAAGGAAGCAAGGAAGGCTGACTTAGACTAGAGACTAGAAATTAATTTCTGCATCTGCAACCAAATTTGAATAAAGAATATGTCAGTGCCATTTATTTGTGTGCTGTTAATCTCCCCCAGACTTTCTTGAAGGCTTCCTTCACATCTTTGTTGCGTAAACTATAAATGAAAGGGTTAACCAGAGGGTTGACTACCGTATAGAACAATGCATTTGCCTTGTCCCAATTGGGACTGTGCTGAGAGTTCGATCTGGAGTACATAATGAGAATGGAACCATAAAAGAGAGTGACTGAGACCAGGTGAGCTGAACAAGTGAAGAAGGCTTTGCGTCTCCCTGTGGCTGAGCGGATGCGGACTATGGCTGCCCCAATACCAATGTAGGAGCTCAGGATCACAGCTGTGGTTGCAAGCACATTGCAGCCTATGATAGAATTCTGAATGAGTTCATACAGCTGGGTGTCATCACAGGCCATCTTCACAAGTGGTGGTGCATCACAAAAATAATGGTTGATTACATTGTTGTCACAGAAGCGTAAGCGGAAGATGTTACCAGTGTGTGCAATGGCATTGGCAAAGCCTGCTGTATAAGCTCCTGCCACTAGCTGGACACATAGCTTCTTGGGCATGGCAGTGACATAAAGGAGTGGGTTGCAGATGGCCACAAAGCGGTCATAGGCCATGAAGGCCAATAAGAAGCATTCAGTGTAGGCCAAGCCAGCAGAGAAGAAGAACTGGGCTGCACAACCAGCTAGGGACATCTGGTTGTTCTTGGACACACAGTCAGACAAGATCCGAGGAGTGTAGACTGAGGAGTACCAGACATCCAAGAAGGAAAGGCTACCCACAAAGAAGTACATGGGTGTGTGTAAGCGGGAATCTAGGTAGATCAGGGACATGAGGCCCAGATTCCCAGTCAGTGTTATGACATAGGAGACCAAGAAGAGCACAAAGAAGATTATTTGTAGAAATGGATCTGTTGCAAACCCAACCAAGACAAATTCAGTAACCAATGTCCGATTTTCTTCCACTTTCATCATTTTCACAAGCATAACCTGTTTATAGAGGAAAGAAAAGTAAGAATTTTTGTTTGTCTGTTTTCAGCTCTGACGATTAAATTCATGCTATGATTATGAAGCATAGAAAATCCTCTGACATATTTGGCATGCTGTTACTAATTTTGTCCCAAACTAATTTTACTTCCAGTTTTTGAGCATCCTGTAAATATTTAAGGAGGACCAGTGGTGGTGCAGTGATTAGAATACATTAAATGCGCCCACTGCCTGCAGTTCCAAGGTCAATAAAGTGAAGACCCAAATTGTTGGAGGCAATATGCTGACATTGTAAACTGCCCAGAGATGCTGTAAAGCAGTATGGGGTGGTATATAAATCTAAGTGCTATTGCTATTGCTAAATGTCTATGGAGATTCTCAGTCATCCAGGTCATGGCTGTCCCAAAGCTTTTGCTTTTTCAAAAGACAACTGGAATTTCTTGCTGTTGCTATTAAGGATGCAAGGTTTACATGTACTTGACAACGTTGGGTCCTCCTTGCATTAGGACTACTGGAATCTATGCTCTTTGGAACCCTGTTCTGAAGGCGGATTTCAACATGTGACAGTACTTGATTAACTTTATTGGCCTCAAAGGTTTAGGAGATTTAGGACTGAGTAGAATTTTTATGGAAGATTGCTTCGAAGGGTAGTTAACAGAGTAGTTAAAGAAATGCCCTAGGACAGGAAACTACCTGGATTTGCACATGTAGGCACCAAGTGTCATCTTGGGCTAGAAGGACACATTATATTTTCAATGGGATGTTAGGGCAAAGGAGGCATATATTCCACATGGATTTCCTTTCCTCTGCTCTTTTTGGATTTCACTGTCATTGTACCTGGTTAGAATTCTTAATAAGTGTTGTAGATCAACTATGAGGATCTGAGGAGAGAGTTTTCCTCCTATCAAACTACCTCGCTCCTTGATTGCAAGTTTTAATAATGGAAGAAAGATGGTAAAGTAATGTCAATCAGTTCAGGTCTTAGCAGATACAAGACATTTAGATGAGCTGATTGGACATTGTAAATCAGGTTAATTTTATGGGGCTTGGTCCATATACTGTATCAGTGAAAGTAGAAAAGATTTTCCTTGTATCTATCTGTAGCCATGTGTTGGCTTTGCAGTTTATTCTTTCTGGTGACAAATTAGGTTTCATGTGGATTATATAAAAAATAAAGTTTTACCGGGCTCCAACTGGAGTAAGTCTGAGTCTCTGTGCAGAATGAGCCTTCTGTTGTGGACAACGTTTTATATAGAGAGATAGGAAATACGGGCTGAATTAGCAACTACAGGACTTTTGATGGAGAAACTTATAAAATCACTTTTAAATCAACTACTCAAATGACCAGTTATTTAAAAAAAAAAAAGACTGTTTGTTGTAGGCCCAGAAGAAAGAAAAGAAGAAAGAACAAGACAAGAGATTACAACAACAATTCAATTGACAGAATCCTGAATTAAAACGAAACAAAACTTATCCTAGTATATTTTGCCAGATGGAGATGGAGATCTCTCGATCACAGGATAAAGATGACAATGAAGCCTTAGAGGCACTCTTGCTGCAACAGCGTATAGGTGGGAGTGAATTTTCCTGGAGAGGAGACATAATGCTATTTAAGTTTGGTCTCCTGGCAAGAGAAGGCCACTGTGATGGGGAAACCCTGGATTTGGCAGGACCTCCGACTGCTAAAGATGAACTACAAATGAGGAAAAGGGCAGTGATAAATACCTGGTCAGGTCCAAAGACCCAATTTTGCACAAATGGGTTTTACAATGGATGGTCTTTCAATCTGCAAAAAACAAAGAGGGGGGAAATGATATTAAATCCTTTGATCTCAACTATATTTATAGCAGCAAGTCAAGAGTGGATTATGTTCTGGAATGATGAAAAAATTGTAGGAGGAAGCAGGACTAATAAAATGCACTTCCAAGCTTTAGAACTAAATACTCCTTTAACCCATTGGAATAGAGCAAAAATACTTCTGAGGTAACCAAATATTTTTATATGTTTAAAAAAAAAAATTGAATACACTGCACTATTTCAACTGATCAGCAGAGGGAATCTTTCCCCAAATAGTACTGCAATTGGCAAGGATCGATAGGTTGTGTAAATTTACAAAACAGATAAGCATATCTTATCTAGCTCTATTAGATTTCTATGTCACTAAAATCTATTTTGATAAGATCTGCATTTGCATAAATGAACCTTCAACAATCACTATACTAGCTGGGAAATCTTACTTTATTACTTGCTGAGTTAATCTTTGTTTCCAATCTCTCTAGGCAGCACACTGGCCCTTTCTACTTATTTTTTATTATAACTTTGTGAAGTAGGACAGACTATGAGACAGTGATGAAATTAAAAGTAACTCAGTGAACTTTGTACCCATATCACATACAAACCTGGATCTGTACATTAACTGTAACCATACACCACCCTGACACCCTGTTACAGACAAGGTAAAAGATGAAGGATTAGAAGGATGAAAATTATCTCATCCAACTTCTTCATTCAGAGAAGATTCTCTCTGTTATACATGCATAATTAGCTCTTTCAAAAGGTAAAGATTTCACCTGTCCAGTCATGTCCAACTCTAGAGGGCGATGCTCATCTCAGTTTCTTAGCCAAGGGAGACAGCATGGTCCAAAGACCTTTCCATGGTCATTTGGCCAGCATGATTATATGCCAAGGTGCACCGACCACTGTTACCTTCCCACTGAACTGCTAGGTTGGCAGGACCTTTACCTTTGCCTTATTACAACTGTATTATTAATAACATTTGAACCATCATACATTAGCTAAGCTTTATATACAACATCAGTTGTATTTCATAAGCAGTGATTTCATTCAGTTAAAATTCTGCTCTTGTACTCTTTGTGTATTAGCAGTAGCACTGAGACTTATATAGCACTCCATAGTGCTTTACAGCACTTTTTGAGCAGTTTACAAATGTTAGCATATTGCCCCCATCAATCTGGGTCCTCATTTTACTGACCTCAGAAGGATGGAAGGCTGAGTCAACCTTGAGCCAGGCAGGATTGAACTCCTAGCTGTAGGCAGAGTTGGCCTTCTGTACTGCATTCTAACCACTGCACCACTACAGCTTATGGAAGATCAAATACTTCAAGCTATCCTTACCTAGTCCTAAACCCCATCCCCAGTAGACTGGAGGAAATTCTTAAGATGCTTATCCAGGGTCAGAGTGACTTGAAATGCAACATGACTGGAAGGTGGGTATAGCTGCCTGAATAACCCTGGCTCCTTCCAAAGAAAAGATGTGCTTTGTGACAGCAAGATGGCTCCATCAGCTGCTTTGGGGTAATAGCAAAATGCATCTAGATATCCAAATTATCTCCTGGACTTCCACCTTTACTTTTGTCATTTTTTTTTTGCCAGAGTAGATTTGTTTCTTTATCATCACTTACTTGATGGTGCACCAAAGCTAGAGCTATTAAAGGTGTGGAGGATAATTGAGATATATATCTTGATTTTTCTTGTTGGCATTAAAGCCAATTTTGCTGACATCCCTGCTGGCCTTTTGAGTTTCCAAGGAACTGCAGCTTTCATTAAAGGATGGATAGGGGCACATGGAGGATGCAGTTTACAAAGGTAAGTTTTTATCTTAGGCATAATGTTTGCCCCGTATTGAATCTGGTGGGGATTTGTTCCACATAGGTGGATATAGGACAGCTGTAAAATAGAACATCTGGTATCAAAGCTACAGGGTCAGCAGATGAACTTTTTCTGCCCTCAAAACATTCAACCAGAGGGCAATTCCAAAAAAGAGAATTATTTCAAACTACAGAGAGTGAAGCCTTCAAATCCCTGTCAATTGTGGAAGTGGTAATCTTAATACACATAGCAAACATGAAGCTAGGAAAAAGTGTTAACTGGAGTTCCCAAAACCAGAATAATATCAAGTGACATCTTTAACCATGATAATGCACTAGTTAGAGTGCAGTACTGCAGGCTACTTCTACTAACTGCCGGCTGCCTGCAATTTGGCAGTTCAAATCTCATCAGGCTCAAGATTGACTCAGCCTTCCATCCTTCCGAGGTGGGTAAAATGAGGACCCAGATTTTTGGGGGCAATATGCTGATTCTGTAAACCACTTAGAGAGGGCTGTAAAGCATTGTGAAGCATTGGCAAGAGCCTGGTGGCACAGCAGACTAAAGCACTGTTATTAACAGTGCTGTTATTAACATCAGGTGCCTGCAATTACTGCAAGTTCAAATCTCACCAGGCTCAAGGTTGACTCAACCTTCCATCCTTTCTAAGGTAGGTAAAATGAGGACCCAGATCGTGGGGGCAATAAGCTGACTTTGTGTAAAATATACAAAAGTATGAAGGCTATTGCTTAACGTATTGTAAGCTGCCCTGAGTCTCTGGAGAAGGGTGGCATATAAATAAATAAATAAAAAAAGAGGTATATAAGTCTAAGTGCTATTGGTATTAACATCTGCACTAGATTTTTCTTTTATATATAATCCTTCTGGGCAGCTGGAATCTGCTACATTGTTCTGCGATAAATTCAATGTTCAACCTTTTACAGCTTTTCTGCTTAATTAGCATCAGCCACCCATGCCCCAAAATCTCTCTTCTCACCAATGGCCAAAATTAGGTCATAAGAGAATGCATTTCTTTGCTCTAAAACTTCTCATCTTACTAGAGGCTCTACAAACCTTGATATCCTTATCCAGAAAAAAAGACCATTTGAACATTTCTTGTACATTCTCTAAAGCTTCTCTTGTCCATACAACCCTCTAGCTTTCCAGAGCATGGCGACTATGATTGTGTTTCACTGGTAGACGCCACTCTTTGCACAGGAAATTTCAGAAAACTATATTTATTCCAACATTTATTTAGTTCTTTGATTGCCTCCAAAGTTTATGATTGAGATGCCACTTCCCCCTTCAAATTTCATTAGAAGAACCAAGCAGAAAATCCAAACAGGATTCTCCCCAAGGCTGGGAAAGAAAGGAAAAGA